AAAGTCGCAAATCATTTTGAAGTCAGGCTCATACAATAAGTTAATTGGGTCTGATAGGAATAACAGAAAATAACATTGGAGTCAAATTCTTTTCATAATCAAAGTTACGTTTTTTTAATTACATCTTTAACGAACATACGAGCACTTTCGGAAGAAAGACCTTCCTCTTTCAGGGTAAAATCGAGCTTGTTTTGTAATTTATCTTATTTTTTCCATCCTATGTAATTTCTTAGTATCATGAATCTCGAAAAAGAACGGAAATATGAAGATACGTCTGGTTTATAAATGTTTAGACTCGCAAGTAGTTTGGACTGGAATCGTAAAACGTACCTTACTCGAGAGAATCATCACAGCATGGTTAAAATGATGCTGCTCCATTGTGGCCTTACTTCCATAGAGCAGAGCAAGAGCGGATCCGCTTCTGTAAAGAAAAAGTTTCGATAAAATTACACAAGCTAAACACACATTCTCGCTGCTGTTATCATAAATCGTCAAAATCGAATATAACTCCAAAATAAATAACATTTCGTTGACCTTTGAACATTTGTTTCTCTCTCTCTACATTAAAACAATATCTGTTGTAAATAGTTGCAGACCTTTCGTGTGTTTAATTATCACAAGCTATTTTTTTATCAATCATACTATTCTTACTATTGTAGTAATACACACACACACACACACACACACACACATATATATACGATAAATGATTAAAATACATTCCCATACGATCACTTCCAGTACATACAGAACAGCTAATCGCCATCATAAAATAAAGCTTTTGGTATTGAATTAAATGTTGGGATGCAAGTAATAATAATAATTTAAAATTGCATTACTAACATTCCTTTTACCCAATAAGGTATGTCTATTCGTAACATATATTTAACTTGGAATCCGATGTGTTTAGTTGATACATTAGTCTGAATTTTTTCAGTACTTTTATTATTGACAGTTTTAATGTACAAGAAAAAAAAACAAATAAAGATTATAATTGGAAAAGTTTTTGATCAGAATGACGGCTTGTGCGCATATAGCGTAAACGGCCAACTCGAAAACTTTAAAGTTCATTTATTGTCGTCTCCTAATTTTGAACTATCCTGTTTGAGATTTTCAAACAGTCAGTAATCTTTCATAATACAACGAATTTCTGTGTACGCTTTTGAAAAGGGTAAAAGATAGACACAGTTACACATAGATAGTTGGAAATAAATAGTTTAACATACTTGTAGTTTGAGTTTATCGGACATATCCTGCATTTTAATGCGAGATAACATTTGCAACATGAAAAACTAGCAACACGTTAGAAAAACTTAGTTTTCTTAGACCGAATAGCTTTTCGTAGTCTTAAAAAAAATACAGCCACTCACTTCTCCTGAAAGGAGTTATTCGTCCCCCGGTGGTCAAGATCGTGACAAAGACAACCTGTGAACATTCCGAAGATCTCCAAATCTGTGAGAATCGACTTCATACCACAGTGCTGTTAACGAGAGTAGGAAAATGCAACAAGTAATAACCAAACTGATTATTTAAATAGTAAATCAATAGATAATAACTTAAATATCGTGGGATAAAACAATACTTTTGACAATTCATCATACGCCAAGAAAGTGGTCCCCGTTTACTGGACGTCAAAAATGCAAGCAAATTCGACAAATGTGATGAAAATCATATTTTTAAAGTATAAGGCATTAATAACATATCCCAGTATAAAAAAACAACAAAAAAAAACTTCAAACAATGAACTTTTGAAACTGTTTTAGAAAGGTGCACTGAATGGATTAATATGACAATCTAAAAGTTTGATATTAATCCAGCGCTGGTTCTAGATATTTATTTCATCACATCCCTGGGATCTTTGGAATAATATCGAAGAACAAAAACTAGATTCATTTACAACTAGCTTCTGTAGGTTTGAAACTTAACATAAAAATATAAACTTCGCCCTTATGGAGCAAATTTCTCAGTTTGTCACTGTTGTTTCAACAGTACGTGAAGGTCTAGTTTGGTAGTTAAAACAAACTAGAAAATGAATTCAAAATTAACTTGAAAAAATCATATCACTCAAATCAGAAACAAGATGTGACAATAAGCAAACTATATCAAAAGAAAAAGTGATATTGTTATGGAAATGTTTGCGAGTGTAAACGACCAAATGACGAGTAGTAAAATAGGATTAAATGATATAAGCATTCTATTCATGGAGATGGCTCTGAAGTGGGAAGTAGAATCAATGTTTTATATAGTGTTTAAGCCTTGATTTCGTGATTATAGCATTTGACAGTTTAATATACAATAGTAAATGGAGGGAGGGAGGAAGAGGGCTGAATAGAACATGAACCTACCACACTGCGCACAACGACCAAATACCAATCCAGGCAGACAGGCCGAGCGATACATGCTTTGTTGATCTGGGTATACCAAACAATAATCTGCATCCGTTGAGGAAGACAACGGGGAAGTCACTAAAGTATAATTTCCTGTACAAGACATGACGGATTCAAGAGTCATTGTACCGCCTATCCTATATATGATTTATATGCAAAACAAATATAAGTGAATGATATAACACGTGTTATAATTTAATATAAAACAATTCCCGAAATATATAGACATTCAATTTATTATGGAAAGAAGTACTGTCTATAACAATTATAATTTGTCAAGGGAGAACTATGCATTGCATACGATTTATTGACCATATTCAACACGAAGTAGTACGTTTGAATACATTGACATTAAATTAATTAGTACGTTCAGAAATACACGACTCAAGACATTTTGAACTGCTCACGAGTTGGTTTGTCAAACATGAACAAGTCAAGAAAATGTTAATATGTTGACCACTCTGAGCTACTCACGAACTCTTATACGTTTTCATTACCAACATTCTACCGAATTCAGTGAATTGCCAAATATTTCCGTCATCAACACAATCATCACTAAACTTTTCATCAGTAGCCGGTTTTAGCATATATAGTTTTCTTTTTATCTATAGGTCTAGATAGGATAAGGATTTAAGATGAATGGTATAGTATCCGTTTAGCTGCATGGTGTAAAGCAGTACAGAGTTTTAGGTGAATAGTTCGATACACCTTCAGTTTCTTCTGGGTCTACAGAGGACTGGGAATATTTACATCTAGTTGAGAAAAGATGAAAAAAAGTGGCGATGAAAAGTATATCAATAACGGTTTTGACGGTTAATAAATTTGGCGATGAGAAGTCCACGATTCAAAAACGCGGATTCCATAAATAAATATATAATGTGTTCAATAAAACAAACAGGGGGTCCTTATATTGAGCTACACATTATTTTATTTGTTAGAATTTATGATCTACAATAGGGTCATTAGGATGATCAACATACAATGTATTAAACACGTTGAGCTAAAAACGAATCAAATATTTGTGTAGTTTACAATATGAAAGTCAAATTAATTTCTTAGATTTCTGGGCGTACTTAACCATTCATTGCATATAAGTGTATGTTTTTTGTTAAGCGCAAAGCCATAGAATGGGCTATCTATCTTCCGCCATCCGCAGATATTAAAACCCAGTTTTTGGTGTTATAAGTTAGACTTAACGATGGGCCACCAGGGAGCTACGAGCAGCGATTATGAAGAGTTCTACAAAAGGAAGACGCGAGAAGACAATTGGATACTAAAATACAGGAACATATGCTACCACCATCTCATGTTATTCAATACACAAGCTTCTCAATACTTCTCCAGTAAATATGTAGTTGTTCTTAATGCAATGTCAGTGGTAAAGAAAAAACTAACGAACGAGTATTGGCTGCAAAATTCTTATCAATGCTATAAGTGTAGCTACCAGTTTGGCTGCCAATTCTGATTTCATTCCTTTAATTCGCACACTAAATCATTTTTTTGGCCGCACCTTTTTTTTTCACGACTAAGGTGTTTTTGATTAGATATGAATTTTGTCGATACACACCAACAAACCACGGCAAGTAAGAAAGTGACATTAACTTTAGGATCGCAACCCCGTTATTCGTCCACCCGTACAATTCTTTTGAAAACTTGAGCTAGAAACTGCTAATTTAGTTTGCTAGGCCTAACCAATACTTGTGTATCTGCAAGTAGTTTTATCCTATAATTTGCCGCTAAGTCAGCCGTCTTTAATCCTAATGACAATAACTAAAAAAGGCCTACCTTTTCTCTTAGATGAAGATTAGTAAAAATTTCAGCCGATAGCTCACGTGACGTTTTGCGCATGCGTGCGCAAAAAGTTTGGTCAAAATTAAATATTAAAGATTTAGATTTAATCACGAAAACATTAACATAAAAATACAAATATATACGCACTTATAATATATTTCAAAGCCTTTTCTCTCTTTACTTAATGTTTTTTTTGTTTTTTTTAAATATATAGCTTACGCTGTCCAAAATAAAATTAAGCAGGGACGTACGATAACCTCACAAGTTGTTGGTATAGGGACGTAGAGTAACTCCGTAAGTTAATGGTGCACCAGTAAGTTAGGGACGTAGAGTAACTCCGTAAGTTAATGGTGCACCAGTAAATTAGACCGAAACAAGAGAAAACGATTTGAACAAAACAGCAAACCTTAATCCATTTGTGGTAAACTAGATACGAATAACAAAACACTGGAATATCAGACTATTCAATCTTTTCCTCTCCTTTATGAATTCCTTCCACCGATTTCGTGACTTCAAAGGTCATTATTCAGGATATACTTTTACTGAGAACTTAAAAAAAAAACCTATAAATCAACCACA